GGGGCGGGGGCGGTGCTACAACTGCGCCTGACGCCTTTTCACAGCAGGTAACAGGATCCCTGTGCTAGCTCCTGTCAGTCATTGCCCCTGACAGCACCATCACACACGTGCGTGGGGCAGTTACCGGGGCACCCACCCTGCTTCGGTGCCTGACACATCTCCCACGACTTAGGAGGATACCCCAGACGACATCAAACTTCTGTATTTTCCTTACTCGACTGTCCCGGGTTGTGTTGCACAAAAAAGGGGATCCAAAATATTTTGCGCTTCTACTCCGGAGAGCCAAAGCGGTGTAAAACGGGAGAAAAACGCACGGCTGACCAGCAGGAAGAAGGATGAAGAGGGTGTAAAGCACCCAGCTCACAAATCACACTAGAAATAATTCCCTCTCTTCCCGGCCACCTCGTCCCTCGGCTGAGTCTCTTACACCGCACACCTCAGTCACTCTGGCCGCACGTAGAAGATTTACTACTCCGCTAACAAACACACAAGATGAGAGCTCATCCTGCGCAGAGACAGCGCGTTCTGTGCCGCGCAGTCGGTCTGCCTGCTGATAACACCCCCGGGCGTCTGCTGGCTGCAGAAATAAAACTTCTGTTAAGAAAAATAAAAACATATACATCAATTCACGGCCCTCCCAGCAGGAGAACACTTGACGTGGTGCAGAGGGCTCTGCCCGAAACGAGGCCCCGCTGTGTTTCTTCAAAAGCCCGGCAGCAAACGAAAGACGGAGGTAAACTTTAAACCGTAGGACAAGGACACGGGAGGGAAGGGGCCAAGCACCCCGGTACTGCACCTCGCTGAGCACGCGCTGAAGAACCCCAGCAAAAGCTGGGCCAACAGGCAGAGGCTGAGGGCAGGGAGGACAGAGAGCAAAGCCTGACGGGACGACGACTGCCCGGCAGTTTTCTGTAACTAGTTTGAGGCTCGCTGTTGGAAAACACGTAAATCTAAAAGATATTTCTGCTGTTTCAGTACTGTTGTCTCCTTGTTTTATTTAACAGCGCTTTGCAGGAATTACTCTTGTGGGTTCCTTGACCAAGGAGAGGAGAGTTACAGCAGCGCCAAGAACACCGGACAGGCAAACACTCGGCGCTGTCTGCAGGCAGACGCAGGGAACGCACAAGCACAGGGGGCAGAAAAGGCTGAGGGGGTGAGAGGGGGTGAGAGGAGCTGGCTAAGACAGCAGGGAGGGTTTTTAGCATGTAGAACAGTTCAAGACACAGCCACGCAGCCAGTTTGCAGCTGAGACGGGGTAGCTGGCAGCGCGTGCCCTTCCGCTCTGTCAGGCACTACCTGCAGCGCTGGTTTAAAAAGAAAATATCTCTGTGTGTTGCAGAAGCGTGCGCAGTGTCAGCGCTGTCTCTTCACTGGAAGACGGTTGTAAGATGCTCCAGCCGAACCATTTGGGATCTCCTACCTGTGCGCCTCAGCCCTAAGGACGGTGACCGTCCCGGGCTGACATACCCACGTGGCAGCTCATGACTAGCGCGCGCTGGGCCAAGCATTCAGACAACGAGAACAGTTCAGGCACATTCTTGGAAAAAACGGCTACAGGCTTCCAGCTCCCCTCGTGCCCGCGCCGGTGGGCAAACCAAGGCGGGAGCTGAGGCCTGGCCTGCTCCTTCTGGGGCTCTCCTGGCTCTGCGCGCACGCTCAGGCAGCAGGTCCTGCTCACCTGGACTCGTGCGGGTGTGGACACTCACTCTGCCATCCCCTGCTCCATATTCAGGTCAATTCCCCCGTCGGCAAGGCTGCCGTCTTCTGCGAAAGACGGCTTTGCCATGGAGTTCATGGACCGGTAGCTGGTACCGTAGACCACCGAGCTGAAGACGAACGCTAGCTGCAACAAGGAAACAGCCGTCAGCCGCAGACGCCCCGACCCCCGGGCAGCGCGGCAGG